CCTATGTATTTTTAGCCGATTCAGCATTTGCACTGAGTACACGTATCATGAAGCCATTTCCTGGACATCATGCACTAGGTACTCCACAGAGAATATTCAATCAAGAACTGTCTCGATCCCGTGTATTCGTAGAAAATACTTTTGGTATTCTGTCCAGCAAGTTTAGAATTTTTAAAAGTAGTATACTTCTTGACGAAGTTAAAGCTTCTAAAGTTACAATGACATGCATTTTGTTACACAATTTTTTAAGAAAAAGCATTTATTCTCGAAATTCTTACACCCCTCCAGGCACAGTAGACAGTTACGTTAATGGCCAGTTAGTTCAGGGAGGATCCTGGAGACTTAATAATAAAGAAACATGTATTACTACATTGAACGCTGTACCTCGTAGAAGTACAATGAATGCGTTTGAAACGAGGGTAAATTTTATGAATTATATTTACGAAAGACGAAATCACAGTCAGGCGTAAACTGCTTAAGACACACCTATAGTTTAAATTGTAATTTTTTATATTTTATAATAAATTAAAAGAAATTATATTTTGTTTTACTTACATTTTCTTCACTATTGCAGATGCTTTTGCATTCATATACATCCCTTAAAAACACTTCTAGCACATCATAGAACTGCCAAATAGGCTTAAATGCATCTGCCTCTCCAACACCTGACTTCAACGATAATATTTTTTTTTTAAATTATTGCGAAAGCATGTCATTATGCTCTCTTTTTTTTTCTTTAATTCATGAACTGGTACACCCATCGTACCTGCAATACGTTTCCAAGAATCGTTGATCTGAAATAAGTTTATTGTTAGGTTATTAAAGCTACCAAGCACGTTACTGCCACAGAAGAAATAATTGTGGAATAAAGAAAAATTGAAGAAAAATATTGTTTTAAATTTAGAACAGTTATATTGTTTAACTAGCTATTCCTGCAACTTCGCCCGCGTGTAATTTAGGTTTTTAATTTTTTTTTACGGAACTCTTCTTAAATAAAAATTTTTCTTAAATAAAAGTAGCCTAAGTTACTCCTTATAACATCAGCCAGGTCCAGCCGTTTCGGAGATTAGCCGGAACAAACAGGCAGACAAACATTTTAAAAATTGTGTTTTTGTATAAGTACCGTATATACTTTTATATCCATTTAGTGAAAAACTGTTATTTTGACATTAAAAACAGACACTCCAATTTTATTTATTTGTATATATTAGGAACGATAGTACATAATACATTCATTGAAGTTGAATAATAGCCATGCTGCAGCTATATTAGTAGTATAGTGTAGTATAGTACGGCTCCGTGTCGCAGTGGCTTAGCAATGAGTTGCTCAGCTAAGAGCCGCAGGTTCGAATCCCGCACGGAACAAGTATTTATATGGCCTACAAGCAATTGTTCCGGGTCTGGATGTTTATCCTTGTGAAATTTATGTATGTAAACTGCCCCCACGTTACAGGAGAAAATCCTAGTGTGGAGGTAATGTTTTTAAAAAAAATGACTAGAAAAAATAGTTGTAGTACGAATGGATCGGCTCGATCGGGGCAGAACCACGCTCTCACAGAATACCAGCGTAAAATGGCAGCTTGATACTGCTGTGTTTCGTATGGTGAGTGTAGAGAACCGGAGACCCTTTTTTACTGGAAAAGAGGCATTCCATCTTAGTTCTCACAGGTGACAACGCATCTGCATTTTGATAATTTATCGAGAATAGATGTAAATGTCTATGGTTCAAAGCAACCACTTACCATTAGGTGGAATGTGTGCTCATTTGTCAACCTATCCTGTAAAAAAAATTGTCGGTAGGATACACGCGCCACCTACTGTAAGTCAACTGTACTATGCATATAACCTTCCCGCAAGTGCAAGCCTTAAGATGTCAGTTTTAACGTAATCTGATGAATTGTATGGCAGCGAAAAATACGAACAAAGAAATATAATTTTACAAAATAAACAATTTTGTAGGTAACTAATTTTGAAAATAACAGTAGGAGACACGCGCACACGTTATTACTACTAGACTAAGTTAGGTACTTACAATGTTTTTATTTTTGTGATTTTTATTTATTGGGTTCCATAAACAGTTTTCGGCTTGGTAGAGTTCTATAAACTGAAAAGTTTCCTCATTGGTCATAGTTACTGCCATTTTGTAGACACTAGTTACGACGCGTAAATACAAAATTTAAACGTGCGTGCGTGCGATCACTCTGAGAGCTCGTAGCAAACTGAACGTGCGGCCAACGTGTGGACGCGGCGGCCAATACTCTGCCACAACCCTTTGATCTTTTGTAAAAAACCGACACCAGACGGATCTCGCGCCAACTTGTGGGCCATCGTTCCAATACGTACCAACGTAGCTTAAACACCCGCTCTACACGATGGCCATCGTTGTTGGCCAACACACTGGCGAACGTGAAGAGCCGCCGTTCTCGCGCCAACTTGTGGGCCATCGTTCCAATACGTACCAACGTAGCTTAAACACCCGCTCTACACGATGGCCATCGTTGTTGGCCAACACATTCGCCAGTGTGTTGGCCAACGTGAAGAGCCGCCGTGACTCGACGGCAGCCGGCCTAAACCTACTCTAGGTGGAGCAAGATTCGGTCTACAATCGCCTAGCAAACAAAGAGGAATTTAAATTATTAAAAACCCAAGTCTAATTTAACGGCAGCTCTTCACGTTGGCCAACACAGTGGCGAACGTGTTGGCCAACAACGATGGCCATCGTGTAGAGCGGGTGTTTAAACTACGTTGGTACGTATTGGAACGATGGCCCACAAGCTGGCGCGAGATCCGTCTGGTGTCGGTTTTTTACAAAAGATCAAAGGGTTGTGGCAGAGTATTGGCCGCCACGTCCACACGTTGGGCGCACGTTCAGTTTGCTACGAGCTCCCAGATTGAATGCACGCACCTGATTTAAATTTTATATGCACGCAATAGTGTCTACATAACGGCAGTAACAATGACCAATGAAAAAACTTTTCGCTTTATAGTCTATAGTATATAGTCTAGAATATAGTCTTTTTAAAAAAAAATTATTATACACTAGGATTTTCTCCTGTATCGTGGAGGCAGTTTAGAAACATAAATTGCATAAGGACAAACATCCAGACCCAGCGAAATTATGTGCAGGCTATACAAATACTTGTTCCGTGCGGGATTCGAACCCGCGGCCCCCAGGGCAGCAACTCATTGCTAAGCCACTACGCCACGGAGCCGTCAAGAAATAAAATTTATTTTTTCCATTTTTTTTTGATCACCCTTATCTTATACACATTCATGTTATAGTGATTGATGTATTAATTTATTTATTGATGTATTAATTGATTTATTAAATATCTTAAAATCTATAATATATATTAAAATCAAATTAAAAGTAGGATACTAAAATCATGTTTTTACTGTCTTTATTATTCCCTATTAGTTACTTTATGTCGTTAATAATACTGTAATTTTTAGCTATGGATGAGCGAAGTCACCTGTTACAGGCATTATTTTGCTTACTAGGTGACCTCGATCACTGATCATATAATGTAACTTTAATGTTTGAGAAATAAATTATGTATTATTATTATTAAGTTCGCCATATGTACTACTTTGTGCATGAAAGTGTAAATAAATAAATATATTCTATAATTATATAATAACCCTTTTTAAAAAGGTTTTGTTTAATAAAAATTTTTCAACAGTTTCATAGACAGGCTTCGAATATTTTCCATATCCTACACACCTAGGCATGGGTATAATTAATTATACCTATGCCTAGGTGTGTTAATGTTTATATAGTTTACATATCTGTATAACGTTAGTGTATAATAAAGAAATATTAAAAATTTATATTAAAAATATTAAATATTAAAGATAGTGAAAATTAAATAAAAAATAGTGGTATGCTATGAATAAACAAACCGCTGCAGCCGTTAGCGCATCAATAATCATTTTAATAAATTCGTCCGCACATTGGCCTGAACCGAAGTAAACTGAACGATCTTCCAACGTGTGGACGCGATCACAATTTCTTGGCCAATAACTCTGCCAACACATTCGCCAGTGTGTTGGCCAACGTGAAGAGGGGCCATTAGATTAACACGTTGGCTGCCATGGGGGGTCAAAATGACCGGCACTTGGTAGAAGCGTTGGGGCCATGGGGGGCTTAAATGACCGGCACAACTAAGGTGAACTTGAGCACCTTTTGCTCGCTGTCGGCCATGCGTGTAACGTAAAATACCATTACAAGTGGCCGGCGCGGCCCCAATGATCACTTTAGATATTTTTATAATTTTTTGGTTGTATGAATGTTTTTGTAGCCAGTCAAACAAAATTATGATGTAAATTAAAGACAGTATACTTTTTAAAATATTTTTATTATTATAAATCAAATTAATTATTTAGAGACACATTATTTTGTGTTGAGATCAAAGTAATTTAAAATTAAAATAACAAACAGAAAATTAATGTTTTTTATCAAAACACAATGTGCACAAATATGGCTTGTATGGGCAAACTGAACAAAATGTCGTAACCTTTTTGGTTTTGTTTTTGGCAATTTTTCTTCTATGCGTTTGTGAATTAATTTTGTAACAACTTTTCTTGTCGTCGCAGCCTTTCCGTCTGCTATTACAAGATAATGTTTTATTCTCTTTGGCCTACTTGGAATGTTAGCTCCATCACGTGGGTGTGAGTCAATCATTTCTTTTTTGTCGTAGCTTCATATAAAACCCGAGCATTTACTACAGCTGTGTTTAGAAGCAGTTCTAAGGCCAACTTTTTGTACCACTTGATAGACTTTCGAAGCGGAGAAGAATACGCTGTCATTTGATCCGATAGGTCTACTGCTGCCTTAGCTTTATTATAATCCATAATTATCTTCGGCTTAATCACCTCTATTCCTCTCTTATTTTTAGTTTTTATAAATCCTATAGAGTGTTTAGTTGACTATTCTGTTCTGTTCTATTCTGTTGTTGACTTCATAACTGTAATTCCCTTACTGTTTTCTTTGGCTGCACTCACTCACCAGGCTTTAATTGGGCTTCCATCACGTATTTCGGTAAGTACTTTCTGTTTTTGCGTAGAGTACCAATAAGATGTGTCTCATTGTCAATTAACTTTTCTGCCAAATCCAAACTTGTGTACCAATTGTCTACAAATACAGAATAGCCCTTTCCTAGTAAATCCTCACACAGTCTGAGCACCACATTTGTCGGTGTAGAAAAAGCAGAATCGAGTTGTTTTCCAGAATAAACCTCAATTTTCCAAGTATATCCGGGAACAGTACATAATTTAAATAGTTTGATACCATATTTATGGTGTTTTTGCTTATTATATTGTATAAAGATTACTCTACCACGAAATGGAATCATGCTCTCATCCACACAAAGATATTCATTAGGTGTATAGTGGTAAGCAAAATTAGCATTCAAGGTACTTAGAAGATTGCTTATTTTCCATAAACGATCATTTTCACGAGCCTCCTCGTTATTAGAAAAATGCAACATCCTCAGTAATATTTCAAACCTGTTGCGGCTCATAATATTTTTAGCGAACGGTTGTGCGTACATTGGGTTATTAGACCAATATAGTGCCAGTTTTGGTAATTTCACCAAACCCATCCAAATCATAAGACCAAAAAACTTCTTGATTTCTGTTTTATCAGTGTCCTTCCACTTTTAGATAAAACTTGCGCGGCAAAATATTGGTCTGTCTAGCTATATCTTCTAACAGAGCCTCTGGTACCATCAAATTATAAAAATCTCTTCTTCATAATGCAAAGTATGTTTTATAATTAATTTTTTTTTACTTTTTTTTTATTCATATAAAATACACTCATTTAAAATAATAATAAACATCGCCAAACCACAGCGGTGACACTCTGTACGTGAGAGTTGAATTGCCGGTGACATTAGGCCGGAGCGTGTAACGCTAGGGTTGATACCGAACCGAAATGGAATATTATAGACTTGTGCCAAAGAAGATGTACACTATCTAAATACATAATGTAAACTTATGTATTTAGATGTGAAATATACGATCAATTTTAAATCAACTTTTATTAAATGTCTTTACAGATGGGGAATATAAAAATTTTCGATAAAACAAAATATTCACGACAGTTAATTGTAATCTTAAATAATAATTAACCAACACTTAGTATTCCTGCTACTTGTCCAGGTGTTTTGGAGTCTCTTAAACAGTTTACTATTTCCTGGCACATAGGAAGCATTTGCAAACTGTTTAAAAATGCATTAATCAGTTTTGTATGAAGGTGTCCTCCATGAGAAGCAATATTGCTTGCGTTAAAGGTCCCAAACTCCTAACAACACCGGTTCATCTCTCGGGCGCAAGAGTTATTCCTTGCAAAAGAGGAATGTGATGATTCACTAGCCCGTATTGCGACATTTTGTGTGTCAGTTCCTTCTCCTTGGTTTGAGGGGTGATTAAATTGCCTTTAGCATCCCTTTTTACAGCTCCTTTATCTTTAGAGGCTCTAACTCTGAACCAACTAAACGAAGAATAAGACGAAGTAAGGACTGGTGTAACCAACACCAGTCCTTACTTCGTCAAAGAAACCCTTAAAAAGCTTCATTAATTCAGCTATTGGGGTAGCAACAATAAAGCTTAATTTGATATTTTCCGCTTTCACTTTTTCTATTATATATTCTATTGGATGGAAATAGTGGTTTCCATAACAGTCGCTGTGTACCCCTTGTATCTTGTGTGACTTGTGGGATCATTCTCCTCTTTTCTTAAGCACGTGAACACAGTCATTAGGACACCAGCTAACTCGTCTGACACATCAATATCAATCACTTTGTTTTTCAAACTTTCCAATATATTTTTCTCATTAACAGGACCCAATTTAGTCTAGTATTTTAAACAATTTAACTATTTATTCGTGCCTTTCAAGTGTTTTTGGAACCTCTTCAACCTCCATTGCGGTGCTGGTACTCGCCATTTTTATAATTCAGAAAAAAGCTCTTTTTCTTTATATTCACAAATCTTTTATTTTTTTAATAACTATCTGTTACTGCTAAATAAATTATTTTTTAGTATTTCAGTACGCAATAATCAGTATTACCTACTACCCTCTAAAAATTACTTACTCATATATTTTTGGCTTTTGCGATGACTTTTATAAATTTTATTATGTATTTCTAACAATCGAGAAAATTCGTAGCAGTATGTATAATTTTAAAGAAAATCCATCCAAAAAATAAATAGATAGATAAATAGATAGATAACACTTAATTGTATGCCAAAAAATAACATAAATATTAACAAAAAATGAGAAAAATAAATGTGGTACAATGGATGGTCTTATCGCTAAGAGCGATCTCTTCCAGACAACCTTTGGATGGACAGGATTGCAAGAAAACAATAAAAACGTGTGTGGTTTGGCGTTAATATGGCATTAATTAATAGAAATACAGATGGTATATAAGTACATAGATAAGATAAATACATACATACATATTAATATATATGTGTATATATATATATATATATATATATATATATATATATATATATCCACTCCTATAAAAAATATATAATATTTATTATACAACTGTTTGTTGTCCTTAATAAAAAAATATAAATATATATTTTTAGAAATATAAATATATATAAAATTACAAATATATACTTTAAAACTATTATATATAACATAAATGTGCCATACATATAAATAAATATTGTAACTAAATAAAGGAAGAATAATTATATACAAATGAATAGACATTATTTTTGTATAAAGCGCAGCCCAGAGCCAGAGCAGTCGGCGACGGCCCGTTCCACGCCCCGCGCGCTTCTCAATGCGCCCGCACACATCCAGACACCCACACATAGCCGCAAGTGATTTTACGTGCACACATGCTTAAGGTGGCACAAGTCGCGAGCTCGAACTCGCTGGTGGGCGCGGCCAAAAAGCACGCTGTCTCACCTGGCATCGTGCCCGACAGAGATAGTATCAGTGATGAGCATATCGACACTAGTATTCACGCACGTCTTGTTCGTACGGCGTTCCGAACCATTCGAACAAAAACGAAGTTACACGAACACGATGCAACATCTATAGGTACTAATATAATAAAGCAGAAGAGTGTTTTTATTTGTTTAAACGTGCTAATCTCTGGAACTACCAGTCCGATTTGAAAAATATTTTTGGATATTATAGCCAGAGTCATGTTGAATAGTATAGTATTAGGCTATATATCTCAGCTAGCCTATATTTGGTAAGCAAGTCAGAAGAAAAAGCGCTCCCAAAATGATTTATCCGCGTACACTGGTGTTATGGTTCGGGATACGTAAATACAATGTTCTAGAAAAATATAGATCTTTACTCCGTCTAAAAAAAAATTCCGCGATACGATATGTCTATTTCTTATATATAAGCCACTATTAGGCATTTTGTGACAAAAAAAAAATTAAAATTTAATTATTAGGCTGGCATATTTATCCTTACGAACTTCGATCAACAATACCAACTAGATATCGGGTCGGCGCAAAAAATACGGCGAAGTAAATAATAGCGCACTGGAGACGTGAGTTCTTATTTCGTTTTGGTTGACTTGAAACACAGCCAATATAAAGACGTTTCACAAAAGTTGCAAGAATAATGCCCGAAAAAGCAATTTAACAGCCGGAGTAGAGAGACTTTCGGTAAGTACATGTAGAATAAGTTATATTTTAAGCTCTAAACTAACAACTATTATCATATTTGAAACAAAATTACCGATTTTAAAGCACCCCTTCAAATGTTTTGCCACGGTTAGCCAATACACGCGTAAACATTTGTAAAACAGAACAGTAGAGTACATGGAGTAGATTTGTATTGTAATCATTTTTAGTAATTTGTTACCAGAACTTTAAATAATGGTAATTGTTACTTTTGTCTCTGTTTGTGTAATTTCATTACATACTTAGCTTTATTATTTTTAGTTTGCAAAGCAATAACGGGAAAAATACTTTAATTTGTTATAACTTAAGGTTGACTTCACACTAAATGTTATTTAACCTATGTCTTTTCATATTCAAGTGAATTGAATTGTTCTTTTTGTAACTAATGATCGTAAGATTTGTGACTTTATTACTAGATGCCATGGTTGTAATTGGGTTGAACATAAAACTGTTTTAATTTTTTGTCTCAGTTCTTTAGTAAACAAATGTAGCTGTATATATATGTAATATAAGTATATATTCACGCGGACAACATTTAGCTATGATTTTGTACGTGACCCGTTATCTAGTTGGTATTGTTGATCGAATCTTACGAACGAAAGTTACTTCATTATCAAGACAATTTTATGAAGATAAACTTCGTTCTTTATACCATGTTTATATAGTAGATAGTTTAGGAGATAATGTAAAATTAAAATAATTTAATACTTGGCTTGACACGCAAACAACGCATAACGCCTAGCTCGGTGCGAACCGAGAAGGCAGTATTGAAAGCTTCTATGAGCGAGGTTAGGTTAGCCGTTAGTTCAATCATTATCTATATCTAAACAAATAAATAAAATTGAAGTGTCTGTTTGTAATGTCAAAATAACAGCTTTTTACTAATTGCATATGAAATTATATACGGTACTTATAACATTAACACAATTTTTAACATTTTTGTATGTCTGTCAGTCTGTTTGTTCCGGTTAATTTCCAAAACGGCTGGACCGATTTTGACGGGACTTTCACTAGTAGATAGCTCATGTTATAAGAAGTAACTTAGACTACTTAATTTAAATTTAAATTAATTTATCGAGACTCATTTCTTGCCTACACACTTTTCATGTATCGTATACGTTTTTCTTTAAAACTGAATAAAACCGCGCATAATATGCCGACAGATAAAATAAAAGTACTCCATTAATTATGACAATTTTTCCATACATTACTATCAAATAAAATATTTGATTGCAATTATAAAATGCTTGAACTAGGTGTCATGTCATGCCACGCATCTCGGATACGTGATGACGCGGGTGAAACCGCGAAATAATTAGGCGCTGCTTTATCGCTTCATATTATACCTCTGTGGCTCTATATACCTAATATAGATTGCTTATTTTATTATGTTTAGTTTTCCCCGAGTGGTCATGCAGCGATCACTCAAGAGTTCAGCTTCGAACGTGTGTAACTCGAAAATTATCCCACGGGAACGAAATACCTGAATAAACGGTATCATATATGTTATTTGACAGCTCCGTGGCGCAGTGGCTTAGCAATGAATTGTTGCACTGGGAGCCGCGGGGTCGAATCCCGCACGGAACAAGTATTTGTATGGCCTACAAATAATTGTTCCGGGTCTGGATGTTTGTAAACTGCCTCCACGATACAGAAGAAAATCCTAGTGTGGGGGTAACATTTTTCTCTGAGCAAAGTATCATCCAGATCCCTTCAGCCGTTCTGGCGCGATTGAGTAACATACATCCATTCATCCGTCCATCCAGATATCCAAACTTTCTATGGAAATAATGTCGACTAGTGTCACCTTAAGTGTCGTTTCTTTTCGCTTAGTGTATATATTCTTTGGCCAAACTGTGCTACAGTTTGTTGGCGATAATGGCGCTCATTTGTTATACATTAATATGTATAACAAAAGAGATAATTTATTAAA